AGCTGCAAGGCCAACCCAGGCTGCTCAGGTCTTTGTCCTGCCAGGTCCTGAAAGCCTCCAGGGATGGAGCCTGTCCAGCCTCACCAGCCTGCCTCCCCGCCAGCTGTCTGTGTTGGCTTTTCCTTCCACCCAGCTGGAATCTCTCTTGGTTCAGCCGAGCCCCTTATCTCTCACCCTCCCACCACACAGCACTGAAGAGCCTGGCTCCATCTCCTTGATGCCCTCCCCACAGGCAGGGCCAGGCTGCTACGACACCGCCCTGGAGCTGTCCTTCATCCAAGCTGAACAAGCCCAGCTCCTCAAGCCTCCGCTCTGACCATCCTGGTGTCCTCCGCTGGACCTTCCCCAGTTTCTCAATGTCTGGTTTGAATCCGGGCGCCCAGGCGCGGAGGCTGTACCTCGCTGCAGACCAGGGAGTGGACTGAGGCGGGTCACCTCTTCCCTCGGTCGCCTGGCTGTGCTCCTCTTGCCGCAGTCCCAGAGCCTGCTGCCAGGGCCCACCACTGGCTCAGCCCCAGTTTGTCCCCAGGTTTAACTGGCAACTAGATCTTCATTTTTACTGAAGTCCCTAACAGAAAAGGAATTGTTCCATATGGTAAGCCCTTGCACAAAAGCCTCATAGAAGGACCAGTCAGATATCAAGTGGCCATAGCAATTACAGTAACTTATAAGTATGTGGTTTCTAATTAAAAGTGCTCAAATCCATGCAAATTTCCACTGGTTTGACAGACCTGCATAAGTAAGGTGACAGGTGAGATAACCTCACAGAACTACGCTTTTCCATCTGTCTGGTACATTTGCAAAGCTAACTTGGAAAGTTTAGCTGCAAGAATAAAATGGTTTAAACAAAAATGTTTATTGTCCTCGTTTTCCACCATTACAAAATATACAGATATAAAAATCTATAGACAGAAAAAAAAACATTCAAGACTGATTTGTAGTGGAGGAGGACCATAAGTAAGAAGAATGGTAGGAGTAAATACTGTGTTACAAAAGCATTTTGTAAAAAAGGTCATGAAGACTGAAAGAAGGGTGTTAGAAGGAGAAAAATTATTTTCAGAGCACCTAAGAATAGCTATGGAAAAAGAATCAGAACTTATAATATACCCTTTGTATGTCAACAGTAAGAAACAGAATAACGCTAATGAATTAGATTGTGAGCATGATGCAGAAGAAAAGCATTTTACTTGTCCCTCAAGTTGTCCCAAATAATGTTTCTTTGATTTATGCTTCAATCCAAACATTGATATTTTGGTTAGTTTTGCACAAAGAAACTCTTCAATAATCAGTCCCTAAAGAGCAGTAATTACAAAACTTTTTACCTTCATGGTTATAACAAAAAAAAATATCTAATAATTTAAAATCCAAATTATGAGGTCTAACTTTCTTTTAACTATGTGAAGTAAATCACCAAAATTAGACTGTATGGAAGTTAGGAGGGAAGTGAAATTAAATTACTTTGAGTCCTTTCACTACACATTTTCACACATTAAAATACCATTATTTTTTTAAGATCTACCTCTCTGTAGCATAAGGCTGTTTTGTGGTGACAACAGCACCACAGTCAGACAGAGCACGCAACTCCCCCAACCCAGCTTCCAACCAGCCAGCCCAGATACTGGTGTCGGTCTGGTCACAGAAACAAGGAGAGCAATACTGTCTAGCCACTGCCAAATTATCTTTCTGGGGAAAAATGGTAAGCCTTTGCTGAACTGTCCCTTGTTGCTGGAATATTGCACCAAAAAAACCCAAGTCAGACCAAATCTTTCACCGGCTGTCAACAACTGGGGGCTGATATAACCAAGCATTAGCCAGTGCTCCAGGTGGTGAAAAAAGCAAACTGAAAAAAGCCCAGAAATTCTGTACTGTGCAATCTCATAAGCACTACCTGCAGAATGTTAGCACTCCCACAATTCAGTATAGGATTTTGCTCCTTAAAAGTGATCCAATAATAGATTACTGGGTTTTGTATGGACATTTTTTCCCCAGATCAGGGGAAACTGGTAAGACTGTTCTTTTAGGAGTCACGAGACATGAGCATAAGTCCTTCTAGGCCGAATAAGGAACAGAAACCAATTCTCCCATCTTTTGGTAAGTGCTCCAGATCAAATGGTGATCCCCCACCGCACATCTTCCTGCTCTCTTGCAAAAGGTGGGAGTGATGCTCAGACAGGTGTCTACCACTGCAGCAGCGGGCTCCACGCTACGGAACCCCCGCGGGCAGAGACGCAAAAGTGAGAGTCATCTGAACTAGGTTTTCACTGTAGATGTCGAAGAGCGTGCTGTATGCTCCTCTTCTCACTAGGAGCACGTGAATCCTGAAAACATCTCTTCCTAAACATCAGCTGTAAATGGAGCCAGACACGGATATATACATTTGGTCAGATGAAACACACACTAACAGACAAATCCACAATCGGTTGTCTAATCTGACAGTGGGGCAGGAATTCAAACACATGCCTCAAAAGCAACCGATAAGAAACAAAATACGTGCAGTCTTCTGTTATGTGTAAGGCCTTCCAGACTGTTTTTTGAAGGTACCCAATTCTCTCCAAGGTTCATTAGAACCACAATAACTTCACTGCTCACCTTGAAATCAGGTACAGCAGTCGCCATCTTGAAAATTTTAAAACAATTTTTTCTTTTGTCTTTTCTTTTTTTTTTGTTTTTCAAATCTTCACATCCCTCTCACCCACTCTTTGTCTAGTTAAACCCCATTTTCCCTACCAGCTGCCAGTTCACAGGAACTGTTTGGCTACAGATGATGTTACAAGTTCTGCCTATTACACGTAAGAGCAATGGGATACATTATTCCTGTGGTCGAGTTAACTAACAGGTAATGCAAGGTCTTTCACACAAGGGAACCAAGATAATGTCTCTTCTCACAACTTAACTGAGGTCTACAGAAGATGGCATGCTAGATCACATGTCAGGAGTCAACAACATGTGTGGTCAATTGTCCTCATCAACATATGACACTAATTGTAGTAAAATGTTTAAAACAATAAACTAAATAGTATCTCTTGTTGTCACCTTGGTTTGTTTGGAGGAAGCTGTCGACTTGGTCGTCTGATGGACTGGTTTGGCTGTACCTTCATGGAAGTTCTGGGAGAAGATCGAGCAAAGGGGTCTGGTGCTGGAGGCTTCTTGGGTATTTTTTTCACCAGTCGGCTCACCCATTTTTGCTGTTCTTCCGTAGAATTAGCTAACAGTAGTAGATTCTTTGCCGTTGAAATATCATAGTACACTGTAGGAAGAATTTTAAAAATAGAAATGAATATTGCTACTAAACACGTCCCCACATAAAAAATTAGTTGTCAGGTTACCATACTCTCACAATTAACTCAAAGAGAAATCAGCAGAGAAATCAAAAGCGAAGTGAACCACATTTTGCCAAACATTGTCTCCTGGCTGCTGACAGTGCCGCCTCCTCACATTTAGAGGGTAACAACTTAGTACTGTGGACGAGACACACTCACGTGGAGAAAAACAAGGAAGAGTAACACAAAGAGGTGTGCCTGAGCCCAAGAAACTGTAACCTGAGTCACAAGGAATAAACTTCACGTAATGTAAGCTATTTTATAACACGCACGAACACTGTCATTTTGCATAGCACTGCAGCCCAACACACAGCGTGAGCAGTCTTACAACCACCACGCTTTACTGCATGAGGCTGACAGTACAACAGGTATGTATGTATATACATTGGCCACCTGCTGCTGACTCACAGGGGTGAGCTGTTCCTCATGCAGACACCCTTAGAAAGGTTCCGACAGCTACGTACTAATAAAAGAAAAACCTACCTGTTCATGTTCTGTTGCTGTCAGACCATTACTAGAATCCTCTCATCTATTAGAATGCCTTGTGACTCCAGTGACTATATGCATATTCAAATACTTTCTATTTACCTTTGCAAGGTGCTATAATCTCTTCTTTCTTATCCATGTGATCTTTGTGACATTTGATATGGCAACGGCGACATTCTAGAGCAGGAGGAGGTTTAAACATATGCCACAGTGGCTTCATACAAGCTTCACAATTGGTTGGAAAGTGATAAAGAGTAGGTATAAACTCATGTCCTTTGTGACAAATGTAATTTGACTTCTCTCCCATGGGCTCCACAGGAAATTCCTGTTCCTTTTTGCTCTCTCCTTCATTAGCATATAGAATCTAGAATCAAAGCATAATATTCTCAGTACTCCTAGATGACAAATGTAAATTCAGAATAATTATCTAAGCAGAAAGAATGAAGAATTACACTGGAATTCTTTTTCAATAAGTTTTTAGGAAATATTTCAGTAGATAAAGTTATGAAAATATTTGTGACAATGTGTGAAATATGTTTGTTATGCCAGAAACATTAATTTATTACTGAATACCTGGAATATCCTAGGAATTTCCTTGGCATCTGCTCTATACACATCAGTTTGGGTGACTGGTCGGACATGGAAGAGTTTGCTATAGGAAATTATTTCCACAAGGACAAAAATTAATGTTACCAAAATGATACATTTAAATTGACAGATTAGGTTAGGATACAACATACCACATTAAGACTTAGAGCCATTAAAGACTTGTCAGTACAAATTCCTAACTGCTTGATTAAAGCCCTATCTTTCAATCCTTCACATGAAATTCCAAATCTCTAAATAAAAAGAGGTCACAAGTATCTAACCATATGCGTGAAAAAAGACAGCACTGAAAAACCAACATCACTTGACTTTAACAATTGCCAGCAGCTTTCTAACACAACCCTCTCCCCACGCTCCAACCTCTGAATAGCCACATTCTGTATTTAGTAAGAAAATAGATTAACTATAAATCCCACCCATAAGGACATGCTGTAAGTGAAAATGTACAAACACTGAAAATTATAGGCTCTCCGCTACAGTTTTCTTAATGTTTTTTGCTACAGTGTGTATGTGAGGTAGGTCTAGCTGAGCTCGCGGAGCAGCTCGGTTGCATCGGAGCTGCCTGCACCAGACTGAGCACCAGACCACTGCTGCACTACAGCAAACCCAACTCTCCACCACAATGGACATCTAAGCCCCCAGCTCTGCAGCTCAAATTACAAAAATGCACCCCATTTGACATTGCACTCCCAGACAAGACCTCAAAAGGCCTTTTGTCAAATCCTTTCCAACACAGCTGACCTAAAAATCAGAAGCAGAAATCTCAGGTGATAATACTTACTCTATATCTAATACCATATAGGGATTAGATTGTTCTTTATCTTGTTCGCTGTCATAGAACAGGATCTTCTTACTGCTTACAATTACATACTGTTAGGAGACAGAAAAGGATAAAACATACATTTTAATCCAGCTCATCACAGTTGTCAAAGATGTCACAGCAATCACCACAGATGTCACAGCAGCATTTTTCTACAATGTTATTAAATGGTAGCTAAATGGACAACAGTAGTACTGTGGGCTAAGTCCATGATTTGCCAGTAAATTCACTGTACAACAAAGAAAATTCTGATTATCTGATAAATCAATTTATGTTATCAGATTGATATTTAAACAGATTTAAGTATCTATGAAGATATAAAAATGAACCTCTGGAAGAAAGTATGATAAAAGGTTTTGATTTCTATTTTACTGCTTTAATTTTCACTCGGACTGGCAGTGACAGTAATCGCCATCTTATGATGTCTATTTTACATGTGCAGTTCACCATAGGGATCCGACTCACAAAGATCACCGTTACACTTACCGGCATTGCTAGCAGTTTTCATTAAAAATCTAGTTACCTGGAAGACCTCCTATTTCTAGAATTTTGTCCAGATTGAACAGTTTGACTGAGCAGTAAGTGAACTGGTATGAAAATGGGTATGTTACTCTTTTGGCAAAGACTCATCAAAGAGGCTACTGAAGAGCAGTAAACGAGTGAAGGCTGCACAAGGCAGACAAGTAGTTGTCAGTTTTCTCTCCTAAATAATCCGTCAAGGGCATCTGATTCCAGACTCTGCTGAATTCCATCTGTGTAACACTGCTGGGAATGCTTACAGCAGAATATTCAAGCATCTGAAGAACACAAATGGCTGTTCTCACCTCTGGCTGGACAAAGAACTTCAGATTACATATGAAACAAGATCATAAATGTGGTTTTCTTACCTTCTTAACCCATCCAAATTTTTTAGTGTTATTTCTAACAGGCAGTGATAGCCAGCCTTCCAATCTTGATTCTGAAAGAAAGTTATACATTAAAGAACATAAATATTCACAAAACATTATTTTTCAGACTACTGTGCGTTTGAAAATAGTTATTGAAGATCAGTAATAAAGCAACAGAGCAAACATGACAACATGAATGATTTAAAACTACAAGGTCTTTCAAAATTTATCACGGTAAATGTTCAGGAATAAATTAAATTTATTCCTATTTTATACAGCCAATAACCAACAAAGCAATCACAAAACACTAGTAGGCATCAGGAAGAAGGGGAAGAGCAAACTTGCAATTATAGCACACGCATTCAGTAATTTTTTCAAGACTTAAAATGCTTATGTCTATCAACCTTTACCTTTGAAAACAGCATCTGAAGATATTAGTACAGACCACACAACATCCAGTTCAAGGAAAAAAAAGGCAAACTACCATCACAAATAACCTATATCCTCTATATGTCAGGCAAAATTTCAAATTTTAGTATTCTAATTAATATTTTTTGCTCTGTAAATTTTTCTTTTTTCTAATTCTGCCTCAGTCTCCCAGGCTTTCTACAACAAAACACAACCATCATATCTCAAATCTGTTGTAATTATGCCAGCAAAAAGTCCTAGCTTAGATATGATTTTTACTTTAGAACAAAACCATGCAGATACCACAACACCAGCTAACAAGGAAAAAATTATCTCTGTACTTCATCATTCTTTTATTAGAAGCCTCATAGCCAAAAACAGAAAATGAGGAAAACAGAGGAAATGCATTATTCTTTACTCTAGCTTGATGAAGCAATGTCAATACTACGAAACAAATTTTGCCTTCAGTGGAAAGGTATTCACACTTCAAAGGAATCTCAAGTTAAATACAGAAATTTGAATGTAATTAAAAAACCCACCTCTGACATTAACACAAAACAGAAGTTTTGTTCAATGCAGTGTATGTGTACTCATATAAAATCAGTACAGAATTAGGAAAACAAAGCGCTCTTTTACCAGAGCCACACAATTTCATGATATGCTCTATGTATCTGGAAAAATGAATAAATTTTGCTTGCCTTATCACACAAGAATCAAATACAAGACTCAAATTAAGGCAAAACAATATAATACTCAAAAGACTAAATTTCTATGAGCAAGTAACGTAAATTTAGATGGCGAGGAGTTAGATGTGTCCACACTTGCCTTAAACACAAAGATTTGACTTTTTGGTATCCAGTATCTTCAGGTGATACAGATAGCTGCAGATACTGGACAGACTCTACCTTGAAAACAAGGCCATAAGGCTTATTTATTCAATGCTTTAATAAAAATGGTGGGTTTATAAATGGCAGCAAGCATCTGTAAACATTTAGAGAAAACAGGCCAGTTATTTGTTCATGCAAACGTTTTCATGTCTTTGATGGCAATGTTAACTGCCACTGCAGTGTGTTCACTGCCAGATTTGTTTTTGGTTTGTTTGTTTGTTTTTT